TGCTTTTTAAGGAAAATATTATCAAATTGATTTTGGAGGAGCCAATTACCACAGGGGAAGTAGACGCTGCTGTTAGAAAGCCATGCAAGTCACCCACCCACACTCACATCGGAGGAAGGAGCCACACCAGTCACCCTCCTGCACTGTAGATCCCCAAACGCCATCAGCTCAAAATGATCCCTACACCACAAAGTGTGAGCTGGATCCCTTCACACACCTGCACATATACTTACACATATGTACACATGCACACCCAAATAAACACATATACATATGTGTGGTTACATGAACACACACACTTGTACACATATACATGCACACATGCACCTACACACATGCACATAGATACACACACAGTGCACGTATACACATATACATCCATATCCACACAAATGCACACATGAACATGCTTACATATGGGTACATATGCTCACACATATACACATATCCCCATCTACACATATACATCCACATGAACACTCATGCATACATATGCTTACACACATCCATGTGTACACACATAGACACACACACAATACACATGTACACACATGGCCACACAACGCACATGCCTACATGTACTTACACACATTTACACATGCACACATAAACATTCACATGAAGACAACATACATATACATATGCACACATATATATTTGCTCACACATTCATATAGACACGTGCTTTACACATATATGCAGCATGTGCATACACAAATAAACATACCCACACACACATGCACACACTTGCTCCAAATGAGAAAGAAAAGTCCACCTTACAAGTTCTCGCAAACCTTAGGGAACACATCATTACAATGCTATGAACCAGTCCAGGAGCACAGAAGGAAAGATCAAGCTTCCACATTCTTTGTTTGAAAAGAATCACAGAATCACTTTCCATATCAATATCGAGGCACATATTCTTAGTATTAGCAAACAGACGCACACGGAAGGCAAGCGAGTGAGAAAGCCCATCACGGTTGGATCAGAAGACACACCGTCTTACGCCGGTTCTCTTTAAATCAACCTGTACCGGAGAAAATGCCAACAGTGTGCTTTTGGCTGTGTTTTGTGTTTATTTTTTAAACTAGACCAATGTTTCAGCATTTACATCAAAATAAACATGCCAATACAGTCTTAAAAAACGTTGAAGAGCGAGGTCTCAGGGAAGAGAGTGCTGTCGCTGTCCAAGCACACGGTGAGCTGCAGCAACCTCCGCAGTGGGGCCTGCTGGACCCAGAGTTCAGAACGAGGCTCTGCTCTAATGACACAGGGAGACTCAAAAATATCTTCGAGTGAATGGATGGATAGTTAGCTGGAAACCATGATGCTAAACAGGGTATGATGCAACTGCCATTTCTGTGAACCAAAAAAGAATGTACATGTACACATCACCTGTGCACAGTGTCTGCAGAAGGCAGAGGGAAGGCATAGGGAAGGCAGGTAGAAGCATTAATTAAGAGCTGCAGATTCATCAGATAAAAATGTGGGACCCCAGGTTAGGTGCTGGGATGCAGCAATACTGGGTTCCCAGGATCTTGGGATGCTGGGGTGCTAGGATACATGGAGGCTGGGATGCTGGGATGCTGAGATGCTGGGGTGCTGGGATCCTGAGTGCTGGGTGCGGGGCTGTTGGGGATGACAGCCTGGGGTGCTGAGTGCTGGGCTGCTGGGGATGACGGCGGATGTTCTCCTCTCCGTCTTTTCAGGGCATGTGCACACCACCCTCTGGCATCGTCCTGGAAACTGCAGGAACTTGGCTGCCGGGCTGCTGATACGCTCCACGTTCAGGGCTGTCCCATCGGGAAGGGTGCCTGTGGGGGTGAGGAGACCCTCTTCTGATCCTCCTGCTTTCCTGGGGGGTGAAGCTGCTTTCCCCGAACACATCAGGCCCCGCTCCCCCGAGCTGCTGCACCCCACAGTGTGGTCTTTGTCCCCCGGGGCACCCTGAACACATCAGGCCCCGCCCCACCAGCCGCTGGACCCCACAGTGTGGTCTTTGTCCCCCAGGGGCAGTGCTTTCTGTCCCTTTTGTTCTCTGCTGATCCCCAGAGCCTGGCCCTGCACAGGTCGTCAGTGATGTCTGTGGATTAGAGATCCGTTCCCCTGTGCCTCCACAGGGGAGGGCCACACGTGCACACACATGCACACTCACACACACAGGGTCACATACACGATCATGCTTACTTGTCACACACTATACACATGCACTCTTGTGTACACATGGCACACACTTAGCCCAGCCACACGTTCACACCCACTTCCCCTCCTGCTGACATTCTCACAGTCACACACACGCACTCCCCATGCCCTCCCCTAGTGGGCTCTGGGGTTCCACCAACCGTAGCTGGATGGCCACCCCGTGGCCTTCACCACTGCGTGGCCCAACACAGAGGTGTATTGGGGGTCAGCTCCTCCTGGTTCCCTGGGCAACATTATCCAGCGGGCCCAGGCTCAGTCGGCCCTCACATGTGGGGATCCCAGCCCAGCCCCCTTTCCCAGACTCCACATTTGGATTCTCAAGCCGTGGGCAAAGCAGCCGTGCCGGCACTGACTGGCCCCAAAGTGAAACTGATGCCGCAAAGCACTGTCGGGCCAGACGCCAACCAGGCAGAGTGAGGACAGCACAGGCCCCTGGGACAGCAGTGCAGGTCGGCTTCCAGCTGACTTTGGGGTCCCCAGGACCCCACCTTTCTGGAGGGGTCACCAAGCCGGGGCTGGGCTCCACCTGGCCATTGTGAGATGTGCAGCTTTGTGAGCCGGTGCTGCCCCTTGGGCAGTTTAAACAGCAGTGGTGGGAGGATGTGCAAATGCCCCCAACCAGGGTCTTCATTTTCGCACTTCCCTAGAGAGCCTGCTTGCCAGCATCCCGCTACCAGGGACCCTCCATGCCTCCCCAACTCCACCCACCCCCTCTCTAGCTCCCCTAGGGGAGGGTGGCACCTTGCTCTTCTGAGCAGAGGCGGGGAGAGCCGGGACCCCGCACATCACCACGTCCCTCCTGCCCCCAGCTTCTGCTTGCCTGTCCCCGGGAGCTGGGATTCCAGGCTGATTTCAACTAAGTTCTCTTTTAAGTGCATACACACCAGTGGGATTTGATTACTGGCCTTGCTTGTGCTGGAAGAAACTCTGTCTTTAACTTCTGTTCTGCTCATTCTGCTCATGTATATATTCCGAGATGTTTTAAACAACAATTCAGCCATCTTCCTGGCTTTCACCTGGTGAAATTACAAATGTTCAGAATTCTCACCACCTTCTGGTTAAGCAAGTGTTGTGGGTTGAACTGTGTCCCCCTGAAACTCTCATGCTGGAGTCCTAGTCTCACAACCTCAGGATGTGACCTTATTTAGAGACAGGGTCTTCACAGAGGTGATCTGTTTAACGGGAGGTCCCAGGGTGGGCCCTACACCCCATGGCTGGTGTCCATATAAGATGGGCACATTTGGACACCAAGAAACAGACGACAACCACATATGGCCACGCGGGGTGCCTTCCGAGGAACCAGCTCCAGCCACACCTTCATCTTGGCCTTTCTGCCTCCTTTCCTGCTGTTTAAGCTGCATGAGAGAGTGCCCTGTGATGGCAACGCCAGTGGGCGCATATACAGCAGGCATCTGGGGTCCAGCCTGGGAACCCAGACACAGACACCGTCTCTACCTGGCAAGATGGGGCGACAAAACGTGAAATGAATAGATCCGGTCTCTGCCCCCAAGACCCAGCACAGGGCTCCAAAAACCCTCGGAATTTCCTGGGTGATGGCAGCAGATTCTTTTGTTCAAATGAGGTGAGGCTTGGTGGCTCCTGGAGGGGGGCCGGTCACCAGAGAGACCAGCCAGGATTAGCACCTGCAGCTCTCAACCCTGCACCCACCCTCCTCTAGGCATCATCCACCATGATCTGATGGAGCCTCCATAAGAATGCCTGGACTACGGGTCCATAGCAGTGCCAGGTTGCTGCACACATCCACGTGCCAGGAGGGTGGTGCCCCCCACTCTACGGGGACAGATGCTCCTGTGCTGGGGACCCTTTCGGACCCTGCCCTGTGCCCTGACCCACCTAGCTGCCCATCTGCGGCCTTTCTCATCTCCTTTTCCTGTGTTCTGTGATAATTTTGTGTTACATTCTTGATATTTAAGGCTAATGTGTAACTAGAAAACTGAGTTTTAATATTTAATGCCCTTGGATTTGGGAAATCTCTTACTACATTATGTTTGGAGATACTTTCTCTGCCGGGTAAAATATTTTATCAAGGCTATACCCATGTGTGGAGTGTCTTTACCAACAAAGGCCCATTTGAGAACTATCTTTGGGAAGGAATATAGTCATCTAGCAGGGATCTGAGGATGCCAACTTCAAGACGGGTGGGGTTCCAGGAGCCTGAGAAACATGATGTTCAGGTTTCAAAACTATGTCAAGGCAGCTTATTTGAGCCCATGTAGGTACGGTGGCCCTCTCCCGGGTGGAATTCCACTCTCCCAGGTGGGCCTCTTCCCGGGGGTCCTCTCCCAGGTGGGCCTCCCCTAGAGTTCCCGGAGCGCGCCCACCCCAGGGTGAGTCCTGGGCCCTCCCTGCCCCAGGCCGACCCAAGTCCTTCAGTGGCTCGGGCTTCCCTGCGCTCGGGCTGCGCGCCCCTTCCAGTCTCCAATTCGGTCCTGGCTGGGAGGGAGGTGGGGAGCCCTGCCGGGCAGGTGGCCGCGCCGCTCCCCGCTCCCCGCTCCCCGCTCCCTGGGCTCTGCGTCTGCTCCTCCCGCCCCGCTCCGCTGCCAGGTCTCAGCTCGACCCCAGGGCGGCCCCTCCACGCCCGCAGCCCGCATTTCCTCTGCGCGACTTTCTGTGCCCGCTGCACTTCCAGGACCGTGGCAGGGGCAAGTCACCACCTGTTAAAGTAATGACGGAATGAGGGAGGGAGGGAGAGGATGGGAGGGGAGAGAGGGAGGGGAGGGGAGAGGAGGGGAGAGGAGGGGAGGGAGGGAAGGGGAGGGGAGGGAAAAGAGGGAAAGAAAAAAAGGAAGAAAGAGAAAGAACCAGCGGAGGAGCGCAGGCGCGAAGGACGCAGTCAGAAGTTCTCGGGGAAGGGGAGGGTGAGCCCGGTGCCAGGACCACAACCCGGGCACACAGGAGCCCTGAGCGGGGAGAGGAGGCCGGCGCGGACCCCCCGGCGCCCCCCAACGCCGCCCTCCCCCGCCGCCTTCCCCTGCCGCCTTCTCTCCCTTTCTTCTTCCCGCCGCTCGCCGGGGGTCGCTGCCCCGTGTCCGGGCTCCGCGGAGCTGGCGGCGGGGCGGGCGGGCGCTCGGCGTTGTTCGCCTTCGCCGAAGTGTGGCCCCGCCGCCGCCCCGTAGCCCGCGCGTCCGCGTCCCTTTCGGTCTCCAGGCAACCGTGGCCGGGTCCTCGCGGCGGGAGAACCCAACCGACCCTGGCGGCGGGACGCACCGCGGACCCCAGAAAGGGCGGACGAGCCGGGCGCCGGCGTCATGGACCTGGTCATCACGCAGGAGCTGGTCCGCGCCGAGAGCCAGCAAGGTGACCCCAGACCCGCCACGACCCCCGCCCCGGGGAGGCCCCGGACCCGCCACGACGACCCCCGCCCGGGGCCCGGATTTCGACCCCCGCCCGGGAGTGACCCCGGACCCGCCACGACCCCGCCCCGGGGATACCGAGACGGCCACGACCCCCCCGCCCCGGGGATGCCCCGGACCCGCCACGACCCCCGCCCGGGGATGCCAGACCGGCCCTGACCCCGCCCCAGGGAGGGCCCGGACCCGCACCACGACCCCACCCGGGGGCCCAGACCGGCCACGACCGCCGATCCCGCTCCGGGAGCGGACCCGCCACGACCCCGCCCGGCCCCGCTCCGGGAGGCCCCGGGCCGGCCGGCCCCCGCCCTGAGATGCCCCAGACCCGCCGACCCCGCCCGGGGATACCCCGGACAGCCCGACCCCGCCTGACCCCAGCTCGGGAGGCCCCGGACCCGCCCACGACCCCCGCCCGGGAGGCCGCGACCCTCTCATCCCAGCCCGCCAGATGGGTGACCCCTCGGGGAGCCACAGCCGGAGCCTCCACCTCCCGATTGTCTGACCAGGGCAAACACAGGAAGGTGCCCACACCGCTGCCCTGGCGCGGCCGGTGCTGTGGCGGGACCTGAGGGGCGGCTGCCTGGGGCCTTAGGGATCGCGTTCTCCGGCTCACTTCTCTATTGATGACCAAACCTTCCTTAACCGCCTGTTTGGGACAGATGCTGCGTCCTTGAAGACCGGGGAGGCCCCGGACCCGCCACGACCCCCGCCCCGGGGAGGCCGCGGACCCTCTCATCCCAGCCCGCCAGATGGGTGACCCCTCGAGGGCCACAGCCGGAGCCTCCCACCTCCCGATTGTCTGACCAGGGCAAACATACAGGAAGGTGCCCACACCGCTGCTCCCTGGCGGCGACCGGTGCTGTGGCCGGGACCTGAGGCGGCTGCCTGGGGCCTTCGGGATCGCGTTCTCCGGCTCACTTCTCCCAGCCCAGTGACCAAACCTTCCTTAACCGCCTGTTTGGGACAGATGCTGCGTCCTTGAAGAAGGCCTACGAGTTGATCAAATCGGCCAACCTAGGGAAATCGGAGTTTGACCCCTCAGAGAGCTTCAGCCCAGACCTGTTTGTTCTGTGTGCAGAGCAGGCCCTCAAGGTAACTAGTTCCCGGGATCCTCGGTCAGGGCAGCTTTGACAGGGAGAGGGAGGGCCTCTGGGCGTCTAGTGGTTGCAGAGTGGGGCTGGGGAGAGGCAGCTCCTGGCCGGGCAGTCAAGGGGCCAGGATGGAGGGTGGGGGCTGCAAACAGGCTGCACCTGTGCTTGGGGCCTGTTCTGAAAGCGGCCCCATGTGTTTCTGGGCAGGGAGGCCACAGCCTCCAGGTCTGTGGTCTTCCATGGTGGTGTTCTCTTGCAGATGGGGCAGCCAGAGGTGAGCAAGGACTGCATCCAAATGTACTTCAAGGTGAAGGCGCCCATCACCCAGTTTCTGGGCCGAGCGCACCTGTGCAGGGCCCAGATGTGTGCCCCAAAGTCGGCAGAAAACCTGGTGAGAGGTGTCCTGTGCCCCTTCTCCCCAACAGTTCAATTTTCACCCCACCTCCAGAACAGTGCCAGCCTAGACCAGGCTTTAAATCGTTCTTAGGGTAGTAGAGTGAAGGAATTAATTTCCAGAGTGACACGAAACTTGCACCATTTCCCGTTCATGCTTTTTGCTCAAGTAGTCGTATCTGACATGCAGGACCCCTGGACCTTTGCCTCGTCCCAGTGTGGTCTCTGTGGCATCTGCGCCTGCAGCTGCCCCGAGTGGGCAGTGGGGGCTGGGGTGGAGTGGGTGTGCTGGAGCACAGGCACTGCGGTTTCTGATGCCTCGCTGTGTCTGTGGGACGGGAACCCGGGTGCAGGTCCACAACATCGCCACGACACTCAGGCTGTCTGCCACACCGTCACCTGTGGATACACAGGGGGTACCAGGCCAACCATGAAGGAGCCGTGGCATCTGCAGACAGGGCAATGAGCAGAGTTCAGTGTTTCAGTCTAATTGTGCTTCTTTATGTTGCCTTAGGAGGAATTTGAAAATTGCGTGACTCAGTACATGAAGGCCATAAACTTTGCCAAAGGAGAACCGAGGTAGGCGAAATTGAAGTGGCCTTTTCTCATTAACCGGGTGAAGACTTCAGAGCCAGAACTTACCAAGTGGGTGTATTTATTTGAACTGTGGGTTTTCCCCTCGTTTGTGGTTTGTGATTTTCACGCACGTGTGATCACTGCCTCATCTCGTTAGCGTGTGGACTAGGCCACATTCATGCAGAATTCCGAGTCACAGCCTCTTCTGCACTCGGCGGTTTTTGTGATTTTAGGTGGCTGTGAAGAGGCTGTTTTCTGCCGGGCGTGGTGGCACAAGCCTGTAATCCCAGCTACTGGGGAGGCTGAGGCAGGAGAATCACGTGAACTCGGGAGGCGGAGGTTGCAGTGAGCCCAGATCACGCCACTGCCCTCCAGCCTGGATGACAGAGCGAGACTCCATCTCAAGAAAAAAAAAAAAAAGTCTGTTTTCTCCAGGGCCTCCCTGGGTGTGTACCCCCAGAGCGCCCGGCTCCTTCCCCAGGGTTCCTTCTTCTGCCTGGCGTGCCTTTGCTGCCCTCTAGCGGACGGCTTGGCCAAGGCCGCTGTCCCTGCGGAGGCGACTCCAGCGTAACTGTACAAAATCAGCGCTTACTGCACAAAAACAAATATCATGCTTGAAACTGTTAAGCTTGCACAAAACTGATTCATATCCTATGCAAATCAGTTTTGTGCAAGCTTGGCAGTTTCAAGCATATTTGTTTGAATATATATCATATATTTGAATAGGATCCAATGTTTGGAGGAGATTTAAATAGAAGCTGTGGGTTCCCTGGTCCCTTCTACCCACATCGGCCTGCTTGTCTGCTGGTGGCCCTCTCTGGTCACACTCTGTTGCAAGTGGTGGGGATGTAGGGCCCAGCCCAAGAGATCTTCCCTGCATGGGGACGGGGACGGGGAGGCCCCATCTCAAGCCACAGATTCTAAAGACAAGGGGTGTTTCCGAGGGAGGTGTGACGCGGGAGTGGTGGGTACCACGGGAAGGAGGCTGCTCTCTCCAGGACCCTTGGGGGCACCGTGGACGGACCATGGGGTGACAGAGCCTTGCCAGAGGTCGGGATCATCTTTGGGAAAGGGCCAGGTTGTGTGGAGAGAGAGGACAGCACTGGCTTGTCCAGGGCAGTGGCAGTGGGACAGGAGACTGTGAGCCGGACCACGGGCATGTTGAGGCCACAGTGGGGATTTGCGGAGAGCCACTTACAGGGAGGAGATGGGTTCCTTTCGAGGTGCGGCATCCAGGGAGAAGCAGCAGGCCGCTGGAGTCCCATGGCGACCCCTCTGACTCAGGCAGGCGTGACCGTCTGGTCAGGACACCCCGCACCTCTGCTCCTCTCCTGAAAATCTGGAGACAAGATGAGTCCTGTCCCAGGGTCACATGGTGGCTCTGAGTAAACTCAGAGGAGTGGGCTTGCCACAGCCACCCTGGCGTCCTCCTCCCACCTGGGCATTGAGCAGTGCTGGTACACCTGGTGGCCAGCCCAGGACCACCAGGCACGGAGGCCCTACAGGGCAGAGCTGGCCTGCCCTGCTGTGGAGTGGCCCTAGGGTGAGAAAGGCAGATGGGCCCGGATTCCCTTACTTCAGTCCCTGCAATGGCTCCCTGCTGCCCAGGGAGAGGCCCAGACCCCTGAGAGGGGTCTCTGTTTAGTCTTCCAGTCCACCCTCCTCCACTTCACACTGTATGCTGGCAGACAGGAGCTTTGTTTCCCAAAGGCTCCTCCTTCTCTTCCATCTGCCTGACCTTCTTTTCCTCTACTACTGTCTTGGCTGCCTCCTGACATCTTTCAGGTCACGGCAGGCATGTAACCTCCTCCAGGAAGCCTTCCTTGATTCTCTCTGTCCTTGCCCATTCTTGTCTATCCCTTGAGAGCCAGAGGAGGCCTTGGTCAGTGGTGTGTTTTCAAGGGAAGGGGGCCGATCCGTTTGTGGAATGATTGAGGAAGGAGGCCCTGGTCTGGACTTGGGAGCCTGTGGCCGGGTCATCACAGCTGGGCCTGCACTAGAGCCATGGCACGTTGGACGCAGGGCCGCCCAAGACTGTCCCAGGGAAGGGCTCTGCATCCTGGTGCTCCTGCAGGCCAGGCCAAAGCTTCTCAGATGGGGCTGCTGCCGTCTGCTGGGGGAGGACCTGAGGCCCCTCCTGGGAGGGGCTCTGGAGACACAGTGGCCCCTTGGTTTTGCAGCTTGGGCTGGCTAGGCGTTGACCACGTTCTCCACGTCCTCTGCTTGTGCTGTAGGTATTACTTTTTGGTGTACAATGCATCAGTCCTCTACTGGCAGATGGTGAGGCCGTTCCTCGAGCCTGGATATCGCCACCATCTGATCCCCAGCCTTTCCCAAATTGTAAACGTGCTGAGTCAGACCGAGGAGGAAGACAAGGAGTGGCACGCCGAGCTGATGCTGTGAGTTGAGCTCGCTGTGCCCTCCGTGGCCTCCCAGTGAGCTGCCCTCCGACTCTGAGGCCACCACCCCTTCTCCTGGCGGGGCGGATGGGCGTTCCACATCACTGGGGCACACTCCGTGTGCGTTTTCTCCCACAGTCACAAGTTTCTGTGTGTCTTGTCCGAAGGTTGTTTCCAAAATCTGTAGATGACATTTGCCGTGCCCTGGTTATGAGGTTATGACAACAGAACAAGATACTGTGTTTAGACTCACGGCAAAGCAGATGTAACCCTGCGCCACCCAGCCTGGCTCCTGATTTTAAAATCTTAGCTCTTAAAATATTAATGCAGTAGGTGTTTTAACAGCATAAAACTAAGCGGAGTCAGCATGTCCGGAGCCCAGGCGGCCCTGCGAGGAAGCTGGGGCAGCCTGGGGCAGGCTGGCCTTGCCTGGCCTTAGCCCTGAGGGGTCACTGCAGACTGTCACCAATGCCTCGGTCACTGTGCTGGGCGGCAGAAAGGAAATGGGCCCGAGTGTCTGTGGAGCTCTCTGTGCAGGCTGGGGATGGGTGGATGTCCCCGGTGAGGATCCCAGCTGTGTCGGCTCCAGAGTGGCCCTCCTCGACCCCGAACCCAGAGCCTGCAGGTGTGGGTTACCTGCTATATGGCCTTTTGGGGAACCTTTGAAGAATATCAGTACAGATCTTTCATTTCAAAACGCCCCGGTGCTAGCGGTAACGAGCTGTCTGGCGCCTGCTGGCCGTTCCCGGTGAGCCACACACGGCCTGGTTCTGGCTGAAGAAGCTGACCGCGGGGTAGCTTTTAAAGTTTGTGAAACACAAAATATATAATGGTTTAATAACCTGGTTATTAGAGAGGAGAAAACAGTTTCAAGCAGGTTGACCAGTGGCGTGTGTCTGTTATCTAGGGAGCTTCTGGAGTGTTACCTGCAAGCTGGAAGAAAGGAGGAGGCTGCCAGGTTCTGCTCCACTGCAGCTCCGTTCATCAAGTCTCACGTGCCGCAGAAATACCGACAGATGTTTTCCGTTATGGTAAATCAGCGTATTGGAAATAGAGACATAGGAAGTACTTTTCTTAAAAGTCATTGTTGAGAAAACTGCATAGAAATTAGATAAGTTTGCTGAGAGATATAAAAATATATATGCATAGATACATGAACAAAAATATATAAACATATTAAAAAGAAATAGCAGTTCATCCAATGTATAGAACTGTGACATTTTGAAAGCAAAACAGGGTCTTTTGCCTTTATCGTCGCTCTTTGAATTTTTCCTTTGTAATAGCTTTGAATTTTTTTGAAGTTAATAGAAAATTCACAAAGAAACAAGTAATTACTACAAGAATATGTACCAAAAGCATTCATCAGCGATTCATTTTGACATATGGGGAATCAGCTTAAGTTGTATCTGAAAAACTAAATACAAAATTTAATTAATGAGAAAATAAAATCTAGACACAAAATCTGAACCTTTACCTAATTGTTCGAATCCAGATTAATAATCTCTTCAATTTTATGATAGGTTCGTCATGAATTAATGGACGAACTTCAGTTAAAGGAAGAAAAGAAAAATTCCATTAGCCTGTCAGTCACTTTCTATATTAATATGCTAAAAGCGTAAGTCATTTTGGGAGGGAGAGCAAATAATGAGTTTCACAAGTGCTGGGCTTGGGAGCGCTCTGTCCCCTCCATGGGGGGAGGTCCTGTGTCCAGTTGGCCTGTGAGTCTGGAGTTGCAGTGAGTGGAGCTGGAGAGTGGGAGCCTGGGACGCCTCAGGGTGTGGGGATCTGAAGGCCACCCCCAATCCGTGGCCCTGCCTCCCTCCCAGCACGGAGGAGAGGCCAGTGAGGCCACGGAAGGGAGAAGGCGGCTTTAAGCCAAGTGCAGAAAGAGCTTGTAGGAGATCACAGTGTGTTTGGGTGCCGAGGGGAGTGAAGAGATCACGGTGTGTTTGGATGCTGAGGTCTGTGAGGAGATCGCCGTGTGTTTGGATGCTGAGGGGAGTGAGGAGATCGCCGTGTGTTTGGATGCTGAGGGGAGTGAGGAGATCGCCATGTGTTTGGATGATGAGGGGAGTGAGGAGATCACGGTGTGTTTGGGTGCCGAGGTCGGTGACGAGATCTGAGATTTTGTGTCCTATGGCCAGCATCCCTGTGAGAGAGCAATGCTGATCCAGGTCCTATCACCGTTGAGCAGAGAGCGAGCCCCAAATTTCCCGTGTTTGGCTCCTATGTGGGATGCTGGCTCTGGCAAGGGGTCTGGGCATGTCTTGTCTAAGCGTTTCTATTCCAGCCTTGTGGGAAGGCCAGGCATCATGGAGGGAAGGAGGACCAGAAGGGGTGAAAAGTCATCTCAGGAATTTGAGGAAAGAAAGCAGGAGGGGTTATTTTCAGTCTCCTCTTCAGTGGGAAACACAGTTTCATACACACAGAGTTTCTCTTAGGAGAATTTGAATAAATCTGGCAAGATCTTGTGGTGAATTATTCTCTGAATTATTTCTAGAAAAGCAGAGCAAAATGATTTACCAGGCGACGTCAGTGTCATTCTGAGGAAGGCCTATAGACACTTAAGTCATTACAACCACCAGCGCTTTCCTTCCATCAGAGAAGAAAAGTAAGTGTGTGTCTTTTTCCAGTATCACTTCTTCATAATCATTGTACAAAATTTAGCAGGCTCTGAAAAATGTGAAAAGATATAAAACAAGCAACTAGAACGACCTTTGCAAAAGCCAACCATCGTGGAGGTTTTAGTAAGTTCCTCTCTGGTCTTTTGTGGCCCGAGATTTGTACTGTTTTGCGAACACTTTCACACCCTACTTTTTAACATGAATTTAGTTTGTAGGCATATGGATGGTTCGGTCACCGTGGCACCTCTCACTGTTCTGGTGGTTGCATGGCGTTTTGTGGGTGGGAGAACAGGTTTCTCTGGAGCCTTTTTCAGGCTGGTTTGTTTGGCTTCTGTGCTTTCTCGAATCCTCCAGGCACTGTTGAGAGTTTGGGTAAGTCCGGGGCTGGTATCCTGGAAGCAGGAAACTGAGCCTGAGATTTTCAGAAGCACATGGAAAGCGCTGGCCGGTTTTGCCTTCATGGGTGCGGGTGGGTCGGGGGGTTGGTCCCCTGCCCCCCAGAGCGACTTTGCACCTACTTGATAGCACTGTGTGTTTTTAAGAGAGTGGGAAACAAGTAAAGCTTGTTGATACGGGAGCTGAAATTGTCTGTTAGGTTTTCTGGTGGCCACACGGGACACTAACAGAGAAGGTGTATTAGTTATCTGCAGCCGCATAACAAGTACCCACAAACTTAGCAGCTTGAAACAACACAGGTCCATGACCTCGCCTCGCCTGCGGGACGGGAACCCAGGTGTGGGTCCATGACCTCGCCGTGTCAGCGGGACGGGAACCAGGGCACAGGTCCATGACCTCGCCGTGCCTGCGGGATGGGAACCTGGGCGCGGGTCCATGACCTCACTGTGCCTATGGGATGGGAACCCAGGTGCTTATCCGTGACCTCACGTGTCTGAGGGACAGGAACCTGAGTGCAGGTCCATGACCTCACCGTGTCAGTGGGACAAGAACCGGGGCACAGATCCATGACCTTGCCGTGTCTGTGGGACAGGAACCTAGGCACAGCAACAGCCACAGTGTTGAGTGGTCTGGGGTCTCTTCTCAAGGCTGGACTGGGGAAGGGGCCCCCCAAGCTCACGGGGTGTTGGGAGGACTCGGTTCCTGTGGATCCAGGTTCGGTCCTGGCGGGACAGCTTGCTTTATCAGTGCCAGCGAGGGGTCCGGGTCCATGACCGCTGTGTCAGCGGATCGGAACCAGGGCACAGGTCCATGACCTCGGCCGTGCCTCGCGGATGGGAACCTGGGCGCCGGGTCCATGACCTCACTGTGCCGAAGGGAGTGAACCCAGGTGCTTATCCGGTGACCTCACGTAAGCCTGAGGACAGGAACCTGAGTGGCATCCATGACCTCACCGTGTCTGTGGGACAAGAATCGGGCACAGATCCATGACCTGCTGTGGTTCAGGGATTATGAACCTAGGCACAGCAACAGCCACAGTGTTGAGTGGTCTGGGGTCTCCTCTCTCAAGGCTGACTGGGGAAGGGGCCCCCCTGCTCACGGGTGTTGGGAGGACTCGGTTCCTGTGGATCCAGGTTCGGTCCTGGCGGGACAGCTTGCTTTATCAGTGCCAGCGAGGGGTCCAGGCCTGTCCTGGCGGACAGCTTGCTTTATCAGTGCCAGCTTAGGTCCACTGGTCCTGGCGACAGCTTTGTTTTATCAGTGCCAGCGCAGGGGTCCAGGCTCCGGTCCTGGCGGACAGCTTGCTTTTATCAGCCAGCTGGTGAGTGTCCAGGCCCGGGTCCCGGCGGGACAGCTTGCTTTATCAGTGCCAGCCAGAGAACTGGTGGCTCGAACCTGGCGGACAGCTTGCTTTATCAGTGCCAGCGAGGGGTCCAGGCTCGGTCCTGGTGGGGCAGCTTGCTTTATCAGTGCCAGTGAGGGGCGCCAGATGCCAGCTCATTCGTGGTCTCATCAGGGAGGTGGCACCCGCCCAACATTGAGGTCTCCGCTGCTCAGCTGTAGGCTCCTCGAGGGAGGAGCCCCAGGACCGTGGGGTGGCTGGAGGGGCACAGGGCCAGCCCGCTGGTGGGTCTGTTTTCAGGAGGAGTATGAGTGCATGTGTACATGGGGACGTGTGTGGATACGTTGTTCCAGAAGGAGTTGACGTCTTCCATCAGACCCTCCAAGTGGTGCTAACTGAAGTCTGGCCGAGCGTGGCTGTGGCCCTGGCCGAGCGTCCCCTTCTGTGGCCAGGCGCTCCGACGACAGGTCTCAGGACCAGTGTAAATAGCCCTGTTCCGAGGTCTGTCCACAGGCGACATTGTCAGCCACTTTTACGGATTCTCTCTTCCTGCCCTGCCCAGCAGGCCTGTGTGCTGGAGCTCAGGTAGGACGGAGAGGCCAGTGTTGCAATGCCAGGCCTGCCAGGACCTGAGGGGGCCCAACAGCAGAGCAGGGGGAGGAGGAGGTGGGCAGGGACGAGGGGCGGAGAAGCATCTGCACCCCACCCCAAAGCCGCCTCCTGCCCACAGCTCCCCAGGGATGCAGGGAGGATGGTCACACCACACTGAGGGCCGAGTTGGGTCACTGCCTGCAGCCGCCAATGTATTCCCGGGAAGACTGTGATCACTCCCCGGGAGACGGCAGAAGACATGTAGACCTGCTCCCTGGAACATTTGGCAATGTCTGGAGACACTGTGGGTGGCTGCAGGGACACCAGCGGACGGGCTCCTCCCGGAAGAGAGCCATCCCGGAGGGAAGCCCTGGCCTAATCTCCACCCCAGGAGCATGATCCTGATCCCTGCAGCTCAACAGGAAGCCTTAGAGGGGAGAGCTGAGTGCACCCTCTGTTCTTTCTTGAAGTTGTCTGGAGCACTGTGGGTCTTTAGAGGTGGATACAAAGTTTAGCCTCAGCCTATCGATTTCTACGCAGACCCTGATTGGTGACTGCAGGTGCGGTTGGCGGTGCCCCTACGGGCTTGTCGCATGGTAGGAAGGCCCAGGCTCTGTGTAGGGAGGACGAAACCCCAGGATCTGTGTGTGGAGGAAGAAGGCCCAGGCTGTGTGTGGGGAGGAGGAAGGCCCAGGCTGTGTGTGGGGAGGAGGAAGGCCCAGGCTGTGTGTGGGGAGTGTGGAGAGGCCCAGGCCCTGTACTGGGAGCAGAAAGGCCCAGGCTGTGTGTGGGGAGGAGGAAGGCCCAGGCTCTGTGCGGGAGTGTGGGGAAGGCCCAGGTTCTGTATGGAGAGGAGGGAGGCCCAGGCTCTGTGTGGGGAGTATGGGGAAGGTCCGGGCTCTGTGTGGGGAGTGTGGGGAGATTCAGGCTCTGTGTGGGGAGTGTGGGGAGATTCAGGCTCTGTGTGGGGAGTGTGGGAAAGGCCCAGGTTCTGTGTGGGGAGGGGAAGGTTCAGGCTCTGTGTGGTGAGGAACCTGCCTCTTCCCTGCATGTCCTCTGGCCTCGCTGAGCTGCAGACGTGGGTCTGAGCTGCTGTGCAAGACCATGGCTTTGGGTGCGCATGTCATCCTCCCTGTGCTTCCCCTGGGTTCTGCACATGACCTGAAGGCCTGGAGAGTGAGGAGCAGGGCGTCCAGTAGGGACCCGGCCCTGGGCCGGCCTCCACAACTGTGCTGGCCCCGGGACACTGCTGGGCTCTGATGCTGTAGCTTAAAGCCCTGCTGGGACCTCCCCGCAGGGCTTCTGTTCTACTAATTAATTTAATTTTATGTATTTCTTATCCTACCTTTCTTTCCTGCCTCTGCTTGAATGGGGAACCTGGATTCTCCCGTGCAGCCATATTTGCTGCCCCCCCCATATTGAGCCGGTGCTGGCTGGTTTGTTTGTTTGCAGAATGCTTTTGCTTTTTGAACTGGCACGTTTTTCCTTGACCTTGAAATGCATGGAGATCTCCTCTGACTGCCTCTCAGACCTCAAGAAGATGGAAAGCAAAGTAAGTGGCTTTATGACACTGTTGCCTGGGGATGGGAGGCTGCTCACCGTGCATTTGGACAAAAGGCAAAGAAAGGAAAAGCAGTTCACAAGGCCGTGGCCCCCAGGGCTTCAGTCAGTGGTTGGCACATTGCCGTCTTTCCTACCTGTGTTTTGTACAACTGTGGTCAGATGGTGTTTACAATTTTACACCTGCCCATTTCTCTTTACCTTTATTGTGGCCACGGGTCCACAGCACCACAGTTGTTTCTAGAGTCCACTTTACGGACAGTGTAAAATGTCATGATGCTAATGATCTGGAACATTCTCCAGCAGTCTCATTATTGGACGTGTAAGTCACACCGGCCATGCCTCATTACCCACAGTTCACTTTCTGCAGTTTGCTACCTGCAGGCACCTACAGTATGAAAGTATTAAGGTATTTTGAGGGAGAGGCCACAGCCACATCACTTTTATTATAGCATAGTGTTATGATTGTATTTTATTATTATTGTTATAAATATCGTACTGTGCCTAATTTAGAAATTGAAGTTTATCATAGGGATTTCTGTCTAGAAAAATCACAGTGTACATTGGGTTTGGGACTGCTCCACGTTGTAGGCCTCCACTGGGTTGGGGGGTCTTGAAACATATCCTCTCAGAGAAGGGGGGCTACTGTATCATGTTTTGCTAATTACATAAAGGGCTGCAGTGAACATTTTGTGCCTAAAACATTTTTCTGCATTTAGGATTTTTCCCTAAGATGAGTGTATTTACATGAAATGACTAGGGAATGCTCACTTTTAATATTTTAAGAATACACGTTAGAGAACCGCCCTCCAGAAAAAGCTTCACACAACCAAAGGTGTGTAAGACTGAATACGTCAGACTTGCTGATGCTTTTGGGAACTGCCACAGGCCCTGCCACAGAGCAGGGACAATGTGATCAGTTTATCGGGTGGTTTTGAGCAAACTGAGTGTCGCTTTACACACGGAGAGTGAAGGGGGGACCCTCGGGTGCACATTCGCGTGCTGGGGCTCCCCTCGTGGTGTCTTCCTTGAGCACCTGCTCTGTGCTTTGCCCCAGGTTACCCACGAGTAATCGTAAACCGAGTCGTCAGTGGTGCAGGAGACACGGCCGTGGCTCAGCACGGGGGGAGCCGGCCAGTCACACTGAGGGCTGTGCTGATCTGGAAATGGTTTCAGAACAGGAGATGCAGTTCACGTGGCCTTGAGAGACAGGCGGGAAGCGTGGTCAAGGCTGGAAACGGCAGCCCATGCAGTACGGAGGATGAGGGCAGCGTGGGAGGCGCTCCTGTGTTTGATGCCCTTTACTGGCTTCTGTGGGCCCCATTTCCATCTTCTGGGTTTCCATGGCGCAGTGTCCCCAGTTCAGAATGACTGTGGAACGCCTGGGTCCGGCCCCACTTCCTCCTCCCCATCAGCCCTTCCTTCAGCTCCCTGCACCTCAGGGTTTGTCGCTGCAAAATGGCAGCAGTAACAGGACTCATCTCCGAGGGCTGCTGTGGAACTCAAAGCAATGTTTTGTGTATCCCAGGTTGAGGCTCCCGGGCAGGCCCCTGCTGCCGTGGGGTTGCTCCTGTAGCCCAACTCTGCCGCCACCGCCCGTGGCCCCTGCAGAGCGTGTCCCTCTGCCCTGGCTTGAAGACGCTCTCCTGGCCCTTTGCCCGGTTGGCCTCTGCCCATCCCTCAGGCCCCAGCCCTCCTGTTACCTCCTGTCTCACCGCTGGTCGAAAGCGACCTTCTCTAGGAGAACATTCTGCTGGGAGGCTTGTTATCCCTGCCAGCCTCCTAGTAGACATTCAGGATCTCATGGGATTTAGTTTGAATTAAAAGCTCACTAATGTTAAGGATATGAATGGTTTTTAATTTTGAAGCCTTGGTGCATTTTTAAAGACTATCCACCGTCATACATTTCACGATTGCCTGAGTGAATGGTGGAAATGATTTAACCAGGCAGACGCCCGGACCTGTGGGACCCCATAAAGAGTTTTAAGATCCGTGACCATGTGGGAAGCATGGAGCTCTTTTTCTGACCCCTGTGAAGCCTGGCGTGGCTTCCTCAGTGGCATGGAGGCCTGCGGCTGCTGGACAGGCGGGGGCACACAGCCTGGGGCGGCGGCCTCCTGCGCTCTCCATCCTGGCCGGCACCAAGGCCCAAACGTGCTGGACTGCGGTGCAGCCATCCTGAGGTGCTGCAGGTACTTCCCATCCTTGCGGACGTCTGCTGCCGAGGACCCGCTCCCCGGGACGGAGGAGTCTGCTGCTGAGGACCTGCTTCTTGGGACGTCTGTGTCTGTTGTTTGTGAAGACGCTGCGCCATCAGCACCTGCGCTCACAGACTAGGAGCTTGAGTCTCCTGTGTCCAGAAGACCTGCACCCCTCGTGCCAGGGCGGGTTTAGGAGTGTCACCCCTCAAGCGGGGCAGGTTTAGGGGTGTGGTCTTTGGATGACAGCGACATGTTGCTCCCAGCTTTTGTAAGGGCCACCGAGGCCTGGGGACGTCTTCCCCGAGCTCAGCAAGCCCCGGAGAAAGGAGAGGTAGAGTGCCCTTCTTCCCAGCGTGACGCACAACACATCGCTTCCCAGACTTCAGCGCAGCCCTGGGCCCCCAAGCAGCCTGGCTGAGGCCTGGGTACCGGGTGTTGGGAGCCGGGACAAGGCCCCTGAAAAGGGCAAAGTCAGGACCCTCCCCTGCCGCTCTCAGGCGGTAGGGCCTGCAGGCAGGCGAGGAGTTGGTGTAGCTGAAAACACGGCTTCCTCACTTAAACCTCTGCGTCGTAGGTGTCTGTGTGTCATCGTATGACTTGTATTTGTTAAGCCTCTACCTAGTCATATTTTAAATGCCTCTGAAGTTCATGAATGTGCACAGCTGCTTCCCTTACAGATCTCTATCTTTTCAAAAACTGTGTATATCTGCAGGATCCTGGGAAGCTGATTGAAATGGAATGTCTGGAGTGTGAATCAGAAGCTTTAAGACTTGAAAATCAGATGAAAATGTACATCCGAGCGGCTGTTGAGGTCAGGAGTCGTACACCTGGCATTATTTTGCAGATTCCGGGAACTCGGTGCGAGTTGAGTGTGTCCCAGGCTTGAGGGTACCGGGGACACGGCCTGGACCCCACTGCTGGACTCGCCCTGGCTCCTGTGACAGCGGGTGTGAGTCCAGCCTCCAGTGCCACACTTCCTCTCCCACGCACAGGGGCCCACAGGCCTCCCTGGTGGGTTGGGGTCGTACAGGTGGGGGCTGGGATGTGACTCCCTCTGACCCTCCTCCTGCAGCCCCTGTGGAGCTGCCCCCTCCCCGCCATGTGGTGATGCCTGCCCGGGAGGACAGGGGGATGGCCACGCGTCCCCATGAGGGCTTTCTGCCAGCCTCACTTGAGTCCGGGAAGGCGTCCTAATGACGAGGGGCAGAAGCCACCGCCGGCCCTGGGGTCAGCTGCCAATTACAGGCACGTGAGCCTGACCCACCCCCGTCCTGCTGTCTGAGACGTCAGGCTCCAGAATAGCAGCCACTGCCACGAAAGGATTTAGAAATCATTTTAGACTCTTCCTCAGTAAGAATTTCCTAGTTAAAAGATGAACAAAAACCTGACAGAATGGAGGTACGCAGCCCTGACATGGTGCCACGGCAAGTGTGGTGGGTCGGCCCGGGAGCCCTCGAGTCTGTCAGCCCGGCAGTACAAGGCCCCGCTGGGCACAGAGGAGCCAGGGGCATGTGGGTCAGTGCTGGAGGTGCCGGGGTGGGGGATGAGCAGGGCAGCTGGGAGGCCTCCCCGCCCCCACTCCTAAGGCACCCACCCTCAGCCCGCACTGCCTGGCGCATGTATCACAGCCCGGCAGGCGCCGACGCCTCTGTGGACTTGCTCCTGGGTCTGCCTCCGCGGGGCTGAGCGTCTCGTGGGAGGTTTTTTTGCTGCTGTGCACCAGTGCCAGGCATGTGGTAGGCGCTTAATGAGAGTTCGTTTAAGGAATGATTTCCAGACACTTTGGCTGCTGCACTTTGTCGTGAAAGTGAACAGAGGCTGCTTGTGACTGTGGCACTGTGGGGTGTACGGCTGCTTCCCCCGCCTCACCTGCTGAGGATCTCGGAGGGGCCGGCACCGGCGTACGAGGCTTTCAGACCCAGCAGCCAAGTGGCAGGATGGGGTTGTGAGGTGCAGGCTCCACCCAGCCCAGAGGCAGCATGAGGGCGAGGCCCCCGTGGAAGCCACAGGCTGTGGGGACATGGCCAAGTGAGCCCAGGGCGGTGGGCGGCCCAGAAGGGCTTGTGGGAGGTGGGAGTGTGGGGAGACGGGCTCCACTGAAATCCTGGCCTAAGCCCTTGTCCTGGGAAGGGCCCGTGTAGCACAGACCGGAGGAGACGTTCTGGGGGTGGGAAGCGTCGTGGGCACAGGCCCCTGGAAAGAGACGGGATCAGGAAGGGAGCAGCCACCACTGAGTCCACACGGGGGAGGCGGGCGCAGCCACGACGTGTGCGTCCTGCCAAGCCTCCTGCGTGTACTATCTTGTGAGACATCCACTTCCTCCTAGAGTCACTCTGGCCATTTTCACGGACAGATTTGAGCATGGCGCCACACAGGGCAATGAATCTAGGGCCTGAGTTCTCGGCGTGCCCTGCACATGTCCCGCCCCAGCCCCGTAGCTCGAGCCAGCAACCTCCATAGAATCGCCCACGACTTCTCCGCAGGCCCAGCTGGATATCATACAGAGACTAGACGTGGCGCTGCAGCGAGCCGTCCGCCTGGGCGACCCCCGGGTCATCCACGTGGTGTGCACCACGCAGTGGAACACCTGCCTGCCCCTGCTGCAGCACAACCTGCGGCACCACCTGCGGAAGCCCCTGGCTGGCGTTGCGGACGTGCTGGAGAAGGTGGACAGGTGGGGTGCGCACCTGCGCTGTGTCTTCCATAGAGCGGGTGGTGCACGGGAGGACACAGAGGAGGAGAAGGTGGCCCAAGCCCCCTTGCCATGCCAGTGCCACAAGCAGCAGACTCCCCCCGTACTCAGTAAGGGCCACCCTCTGTCTCTGCTCAGGGCCAGGCATGCCGGGTCCTCTGTGTGGAGCACTGGTGGGGCCAGAGGAAGAAGCAGGCTCAGCTGTGCCTCACGGGCATCTGTGCCCCTCAAGCCTCCATTGAAGGGGACTGTCATGGCCACAGAAGCTGAGAGTGGGGGGCTGGTTGTGGCCCCGTGGGACTGGGGTCATCTTGGGTGAGACAGGAGTGCTCAGAGGGCCCAGCGTCCCGGAAAAGCACGGTGTGTCCTCAGGGGTGACAGGAATGCTGGGGCCAGCGTGGTAGCAGGTGGTAAGCATCTAGGTGGGCCGTGGCGGGCAGGCGGCAGGCATCTGGGTGGGCCGTGGCGGGCAGGCGGCAGGCATCTGGGTGGGCCGTGGTGGGCAGGAGACAGGTGCTGGGGGCAAGGGCAGCCACAAGATGTTGCAGAGCCTGGACCCAGGGTGGCTGGAGAACCACAGCCCTGGTCTCAGGACCTGTTTCTTGTTGGGAGGGCTCAGCCTCTTCATTGCTGTCAGTATGGTTTTGACTCTGAGACCACCAGCTCAGCCCCAGCTCCCTGTCTGCTACCTCCCTGCACTGCCACAGCTCCCTCCCATCTTCTCTGGGGCTCCCTGAATTTTTCTAGAATTCTATTTAATTTCCTCTGTTGGCTTCTTGGTTTCTTGACTATACCTTTTGGAGGAATGGGGGATTTCTCTAGGGCTAAGAACATGCACCGCTTAGCACAGTCTGTGTCAGGCCAGCATCACTCCGGCTCAGTTCACACAGATACACACCCTGAAGCATGGTGACCACACCCCTCACACCCCCCTGGGCCATCCTTCAACTTCCCACAGCTGAGAATGAACCCGGACCCCGGCTCAGCTGCCCCTAGAGCCGCTTCTCAAGCCTGGCACACGTGCACTCCTGTGCCCACGCAGCCTGCTCGAGCCCAGGGGGTCTGGAGCACCCACACACAGCTGCTTGAGGCCAGGGGATCCAGGGCACCTCCACACGGGCTGGTTGGGCTGCTCTGCACAGCCCTTCCTCTCCAGACCCTAGCCTCCCTCGCAGCCCTGCACCCTGACCTCTGCCACCGTGGCCTGTGGGAACTGTGCCCCACGCTTCAGGAAGTTGTGCCCAGGCTGTGGGAACTGTGCCCCACGCTTCAGGAAGTTGTCCCCAGGCAGAGAGCCGGGCATCTTGCACTAGCGCCCAGGTTTCCTTCCGGGTCTGCCGTTGTGAGTTGCCGAGGCCTCCGGGGTCTGCATTGTCTTCCCTCCTTGTCCCCATTTGTGAGTCCCCAGGGCCAGGCAGGGACATCACTGAAAGGATGGCAGAAAGCCAGGGACACCGGGCACCAAGTCTCCCCTACATGCTGGGGCCACTCCAGGCCTCTCCCTGGAGGGTGTGACCCCAGCCCGACACAGCCTCAGCCCTGCCAGGGCCCCTGATGCCGCGCCACCCCCACAGCCTCATGACGCTGCTGCGCTGCCAAGTGCACATGGAGATGGCGCAGATCGAGGAGGACGAGGACCGGCTGGAGCCCGCCATGGAGCACCTCCAGAAAGCCGCGCGCCTGGACAGCCTGGGCCTCTACCAGGACAGGCTCCAGATGGCCTCCACCCGGCTGCGCCTGTGCACCACACTATACCAGGCCCCCGAGCGTGCAGAGGACAAGGCCATCATGGCCATCGAGCAGGTGCTGCCCGGGGAGGTGAGGGAGGCTGGGTGCTGTAACCCCAGCATGGGGCCGGGGCTGGGCTTTGAAGGCACGGCAGGGCGGGAGCTGCCCAGGGCCGCCTGAGGCGAGGAGGCCTGGGGCCGAGCTGTCACTGTGTCTGTGAGCACGAGGACCACACAGGCCCTGCCACAGCCAGGAGGCTCCAGAAGTTGGAGAAGGTGCTGCGGAAAGTCCAGCGGCCCCTTCCTCATCAGTCTCTGCTTTTCACAGGCCAAAAAAGCGACCCCAAAGGACGGCGTCAGGAAGAAGCGGGCCCTGCTGGTGAACGCAGGCCTGGCCTTAGCCCCCGACACGTTTCAGATCGTGCTGGACAGTGAGAATGAGGCCAAGGGTGAGCGCCGCACTGGGCTCTCCAGCCCGGAACCATCCGCCTTGGAATGGCTCCGAGGCTGCCCGGGGGTTTCCCCAGTCCCCATGCTCCCTCCCACGGCCCCTGGATGTGCAGGGACCGTGCACCAGCAGTGTCCCCCGATCTCGGCCTGCCGGGTCTGGCAAAGCCCAGCGAGGGTCTTCTGTGCACATGCCAGCCATGTCGGGTGTCCCGGCTGCTGGGACAGACCCCACGGGCTCCGCTGCTTAGACAACAGGAACTCACTCCTCCCAGTCCCAGGCTGGAAGTCAAGGCGTGAGCAGAGCTGGTTCCCCCGAGGGCTCCTCCTTGGCTTGTGGACGCTGTCTCCTCCCTGCGTCCTCAGGGCCGTTCCTTCTGGGGGTCTGTGTCCTCGTTTCCTCCTCTTAGAAGGATACCAGTCAGGCCGGGCGCAGTGGCTTAAGCCTGTAATCCCAGCACTTTGGGAGGCCGAGACGGGCAGATCACAAGGTCAGGAGATCCAGACCATCCTGGCTAACACGGTGAAACCCCGTTTCTACTAAAAATACAAAAAAAAATACTAGCCAGGCGAGGTGGCGGGTGTCTGTAGTCCCAGCTACTCGGGAGGCTGAGGCAGGAGAATGGTGTGAACCTAGGAGGTGGAGCTTGCAGTGAGCTGAGATCCGACCACAGCCTGGGCGGCAGAGCGAGACTCTGTCTCAAAAAAAAAAAAAAAGGATACCAGTCAGACTGGACTAGGGTCCACCCTGGTGACCTCATTTGACCCAGATTACCTCCAAAGAAGGTCATACTCAGGTCCTGGGGGCGAGGACTTCAACACACCCTGCTCTGGGGAGTGGGGTTGAGCCACTGCCAGAGGCACAGGACAGGGCTCCCTGGATCACGGGGTCAAAGCTGAAGCCATCACGTCTGTCCTAGGGAGACCCTGAGCTGGCTTTGGGTAGTGGGACATGGGGCCATGCGGCCCACGTGCAGGGACTGAGCCAGGGTTCGGGGGTGTATTGCACCCCCACTGCCCCAGCTTCTCTGGGCACTCGCCAGTGGCTGTGGGAATGCAGGCGGTCCCACTCTCTTCAGCCCAGTGCAGGGGCCAGGCTGGGCCTGGCTTAGGAGCCCTTCGCATTGGTCCCTTAAGGGTCCTGCTGGGGGCTGCCACCAGGCCTCCCTCCAGCTCAGTGCCCCGCAGCTGGCGGCTTTCGCCCAGCACGATGAACCAGGCGTCACCCAGGCTGCAGCCTGCGGAGACAGTGGTCGGGAATGGAGCCGCTGGGTCGTGTCTCGGGTCTGAGACAAGGAGATGGGCAGATGCAGGGTGGGTCGTGTCCTGCAAGGGAAGGTTGGCGGCTCTTGGAGCGGGGAGGGGTCACCGCCTCATCGTCCACCGCCCTCAGATGCTGCCGCACCTGTGCTTTCATTTTGCCCTGATAAGTTTGAGGAGCAGCTGCAGATCCACCAGTAGGACCCGGATGTACCTATTTTGCCTTCCTGACTCCTTTCATTCATGGGCGTGTGCTGCTGGCTGCCTGGGGGTCAGGTGCATGCCCACCTGCTGGCTGTGGGGCTGAGACAGTGCCCTACACCCAGCAGGAGGTGCTGCGGGGCCCTGCCCAGGGGGAGTGAGGGTGGTGCAGGCTCCAGGGGAGGATACCCTTGAGTGGCTCCTGAAGGTGAACCCTTGTGCCGGCCGAGAGGGTAGACACCAGCCAGGGGAGGCCCAGTCCCCCCTGTTGCCCATGCACAGGAGGCCCCCCAGGGTGTGGAGCTGAGTTCTGGGTGTGGAGCTGAGTTCCGGGTGCTTGTGATTTATTTGCCAGGAAAAGGAGCGGTGATTCGAAACCTCTGACGTCATGCAGATAAAACTGCTGGGCCTTGGGGTGCTACACAGGGGCTGGGTGGGAGCGCGGGAGTCTGAGGCCGGGTGCCCCTGCTTGGACGTCAGCTAGGTAGTGCAGCCAGCAGGGCAGCAGGAGGATCTTGGCAGACTGCTCCGTGGTTCCTGGAGCCTCCCCCACTCAGAGGAGCACTGGCTTGGCCTCGTTGCTGGCGGGAGACACAGGCAATGCCACTCTGTAGCTCTGTTCCCGGGAGCCGGGGATCTAGGGCCCCTGCAGCCACCACCTATGCGTGGCCACCCCAGCGCCGGCGCGGGGCGCTGGTTCCTGATGGGCGCGTCCCCGGCCGGCCCTTCCCCAGCAGCCCCAACACCTGCCTGTGCATTTCCGTCCCAGTCTCCACCGGGAAGAGCAGGGGCCGGTTCACCTACCTTTGTGCAAAGGCGCGGCACCACATCGTCAGCGTGGACAAAGCTGCCGGGCACCTGCGGCGCCTGGGCAACGAAAACAGCAAGGAGAGGTGAGTGAGGAAAAGGCCAGAGCGCCACACAGAGCCCTGCCCAGGGGTCGCTCAGCCCAAGAGCCAGCGTCTGTGGCAGCCGAGCTGACCCTGCGTGTGGCTGTCTGGGGACACGCCAGGTCATCTGCTCAGGATGGTGGGAGGAGGTCCCCGCCTGGGGGTCCCGACATAGATGGGACCCCCAGCCTGTGATGACAGCCACCGCCTGTGAGGTGTGCAGCCGCCCTGTCCCGCCTGTCACTGCTGTCACTCGGAGGACATGCAGCACCTGTGACCAAAGCAGGCTGATTTTTGGTACCAACCCTGCGGTACCGCCCCCAGGAGGCCTGCTCCGTGCAGCGGATTGCACGGCCTTTCTTCTCACCACAGGGAAGGGAGGTGCCACTCACAGCTGACTGGCAGGGGGAAGCAGAGAGCTGCACCCGACCCCGGGACATGCAGCCGCCAGGCCGTCCCCAGTGCGAGCACCGGGCTCCTTGCCACCTCGAAATCGCAGAGCCACAGTGGCCTTTTCTCAGGCAGGCAGCCCAGGTGTTTTCTAACTTTAGCAGCCACGTTTGTCTACTCACTTTTCCCTCGTTTGGGTTCTTGGTGAGCAGGATACAGATTTGGGCAGAGCTGGCCAAAGTGGCCCGGAAACAAGGCGTGTGGGACGTCTGTCGGACGGCGAGCCGCTTCTGCCTCCTGTATGACAACGTCAAGGTGAAGAAATCGAGGCTGCGGAGAGGTTTGTACCCGCCCTCACGAGTGCGTCCCAGCCTGGCCACAGCCGCCCTCTGGGTGCGGGAAGGGTTGTGGTTCATGCAGTGACAGCCCATGGGGCCTTCACATGAGAAAGGGTATAGCTAAGTCACAGTAGTAGCAGTTCCCACTAATTATCAGGACTGCCAATCACGGGGCGGCGACCACATCTGGCTGTGTCAGCCGAGCCACAAGCACCATCATCATGCTCCATCTTCAGTCACTGAGGGCCACGGAAGCTCAGGCAGGGGCAGCCACAGCCAGCGAGCAGATGCCCATGCGGGGCGCCTGCAGGCAGAGGGCAGTGGCCACAGGCCCAGCGGGAGCAGGACATGGGTGGGGCAGCCTCATCAGTCAGCACGAGGCCCTGGAGAGGCTCCTGTCTCAGGGACAGTCAGGACCCAGAGGGACGAGGGAAGTGACAGAATGGGCACAGGGGGCCTGGGAGTCCTGCAGGAGTCGGGGGGGACCCCTCCAGAAGGTGGGGTATGCAGGAGGAGCTGGGAGTCCTGCAGGAGTCAGGGGGGACCCCTCCAGAAGGTGGGGTATGCAGGAGGAGCTGGGAGAGCCACAGGGGCCAAGAGCATTTGCAGGGATGTGGCCAAGAGCAAGCCCTGGCTGGGGGCCAGCACTACACCCAGCTCCGCCACCCCACGGAGAGCTCCTCCAGCCCCTTCCTGGGCAAGCTGCCCGCCTCCCGCTCACCCGCCCACCTTGTTGGACCCTACTGGGAGCTGGGGAGAGGCTCAGGCACTCCAAGATGGGCCAGGAATTCTTGTTTTTATATATTTGCTAGAAAAAAACATGATCCTTACCTGCTGCCATTTTTCTCTCAGGGAAGAAGAGGCGAGGTAGGGACGGCTCGGTGCAGGACACCTGGAGCCACCCTGAGGTTGTCCTGCAGAGGCAGGTGTGTCCTGACCTGCTGCGGAAGTTCGCGGAGGTGGGGTTCATCGGTGCTGAGGTGCGTCGCCGAGGTGGGGTTCGTCGGGGCTGAGGTGTGTCCCGGAGGTGGGGTTCGTCGGGGCTGAGGTGCGTCCCGGGGGTGGGGTTCGTCAAGTCGGGGGCGGGTGCATCACTGAGGTGGGGTTCACCTTGGGCTTGGTGCGTCGCTGAGGAGTGGGGGTTCATCGGGGCTGGGATTCGCGTCAGGGGGTGGGAGGTTAAATCGGGGGCTGAAATTGCATCGAGGTGGGAGTTCGTCGGGGCTAGGTTGCATCGGGGGGTGGGGTTCGTCGAAGGGCTGAGAGTGCATCCGGGGTGGGGTTAGAAGTCGCGGGGCTGAGTGCGTCGCGAGGTGGGGTTCGTCGCGGAGGCGAGAGTGCGTCCAGGGTGGGGTTAAATCCTTCGCTGGCGGGGCTGAGTGCGTCCGGGGGTGGGGTTCGTCGAGAATGATCGTCCATGGCCTTGAGGTGTGTGGATTCACCGTGGCGAGGCTGAGAGTGCGTCCTGGGAGGTGTGGCAGTTAGCGAGGCTGAGGTGCGTCCTGGGGGTGTGGTTCGTTGGAGCTGAAAGTGTCGAAGTGGGTTCGTCCGGGCTGAGTCGTCTGGCCACAGCGTTGGAGGATTTGCTTTCTGCGTCCGCACAGCCCTCTGCAGGGCAGGCGTTGGTGTCCCATGGCCTGTTAACCCACTGGAGGTGTTATCGTCATAGAACCTTCTGTGCTTAAACAAAACAAATATGGGGAGGGTAAACTTCCTGGATTCTTGGGAGATTTTTCTAGGAGAAAAATATAACCCAAAATGTGTGCATGGGTGTAAGTTTCTCTTGGGAATCATTTCAGTGACGAATAATGCAGTTGTGTGGATGACACCACCGGCGACGCGGCTCCGCGAGAGGATGGTACCTCAGCATTTGCTGCAGAAGTGCATTGAATGTGGCGTGTCCAGGGGCTGCCGTGGCCGCCAGGCGTTCGTCGGGGCTGAGGTGCGTCCCTGTGCCACAGCGTTGGAGGGTTGCTTTCCTGCGTCCGCACAACCCTCTGCAGGGCAGGCGTTGGTGTCCACATGGCCTGTTAACCCACTGGAGATATTTATCGTCATAGAACCTTCTGTGCTTCAAACAAAACAAATATGAGGGAGGGTAAACTTCCTGGATTCTTGGGAGATTTTCTAGGAGAAAAATATAACCCAAAATGTGCATGGGTGTAAGTTTCTCTTGGGAATCATTTCCGAGTGGCGAATGTGCAGTTGTGTGGATGACACACGGCGACCGCGGCTCCGCGGGGGGATGGTACCTCAGCATTTGCTGCAGAAGTGCATTGAATGTGGCGTGATGTCCGGGGCCCCTGCCATGGGGCCGCCAGGCCTGTTCCTCCCACGCAGGCTCAGAAACTCCCGGGCTCGCCCTGCCCAAAGTCAGCAGGTGGAAATGGCAGAGCGGGATCTAAACCCGGCCCTGGGACCTCGGTCTGAGCTCGCAGTCACTGTGCTGCGGCAACATGAGCGTGGCCTTTGTGACACTGTGTGACTTCAGAGTTCCCAGAGCCACTCTCGGTTAGATGTCTGTGGACTGGCTCAGTGGGTGCATGGCCATCAGCCTCGGGGGGCAGGGCACCTGCCGATTTATGGAGTATGTCCGCCGAGTGGCTCCCAAGTGCCAGGCCCATGCCTCAGCTGGGGTCAGGGTGAGAAGCGGCACAGACCCCTCTGCTCAGGGAGCCAGAGGTCAGATGGCAGAACCAGAGCCAGCAGAGGCCACGGGGCTGTGCCACGTGCTTGTGCACACCCCACAGGCCAGTGCAGCCCTTTCCCCTCAAGCATTTAAAACGTAACGATGACGTAGGGGAAGTGCAAATGCTGGCCGGGTTTGCTGATACCAGGAAGCCACTGTTGGTCCTTCGGGGCCGCTGGGGTGTGCGGTGCTCTGGAAGGACCTTCTCTTCCCTGACCCTCGTGCTGATGGGTGGAGAAAGTCTGGAGGGACTGGCTTTAGTCCCTGGAGTGGCTGTCGGGGCAGGCCTGGCCTGGAGAGGGCGCAGCAGACGGGTCTCTCAGCCTGTGCTTGGCATTTTCAGATCAGAGCTGAGGGAAGGGCATGTATGTTTCCCGTCTGGGGCTGGCCCGTGCTCCACCCACAACCCCTCCCACTGCATGTGTGTTTTGCAGGCCACGGTTCATTTGCTGCGGTCAGAAGGTGTAGAGCTGAACGACCGGGCCATCCCCCCAGAAGACCTGAGCCAGCACCCAGCCGGCTACGTGCCCGAGCCCCCGGAGGCGAATGCCGAGTGGATCACATACAGGTGGGCAGAGGCGATGGTGGCCTTGAGCACTGCCCGGGCCGTGCGTCAGAGGGTGCCCTGCACTCAGCCTGGCATAGGGAGGGACACCCTTCGCATTCGTAAGGACACAGGCTTCTCATGTCGGGGAAGTGTCCATTGTCACGTAAATGACATTGAGACCATGAAAGAGGAAACGGGGTGACGTGGCCTCACTTGTTTTTAGCAGTTGTTCCTAGCAAGACCCCAGGCGTCGTTTGTTGTCACTACGAGGAGAAGTTCACGAGTGTCTTTTCCACCGTGCCACTCTCGTCGGTCCCTCTGATGGTGCATGAAAGGCAGCTGTGGGGAGGTGGTCTTCGTGGCAGGAAATAGAAGGAACAGCTTCTGTATTTGCTCAGAGGAAAAGCTCTGCTCTCCCTCCTATTGTGGGAAAAGCCATCAAGGACTGCCTTGGCCTCGAAAACTCCTTGTGTGTCAATAAGCAAAATTAGTTTGTACAGAACATCTCACAGGCTTTGCTGACATGAGGCTCCAAGTTCGGAAGCAATCATGAAATTGGAGTGCTTTACCAGCAGTGATGGTTTTTGCCTATTTTTAATCTAAAATTAAATATTTTTAACTTATTTTTTTAATTGACAAGTAATAATTTAATGTTTCTGGGGTGCACAGTGACGTTTTGATCCATGTAATGTGGTGATCAGATTTGGGTAATTAGTGAATCCATCATGTTGGACGTGTATTGTTTCTCGCTGTTGGGGACGTTCAGTGTCCCCCTCCCAGCATCCCCGTAAACTATAGTTGCTTACCGTGCGTAGGACACGGGAATTTATCCCTCCGATGCAGCTGCGCCAAGCACATGAACGTGGTAAGCTTGGGTGTCCCGACTATCCATGCAACAGAAGCTGGGCACAGCGCCCCTGTCCTCGCCGGTCACACGGGGCAGAAGGAAAGTCAGCTGTCCCTGCTTGCTGTGCACGCCTGGAGCCACCCAGCCGAGCCCTTTGGAGGGAAGAGGTGGTCAGGCAGCAGCAATGACAATGACGGCCGCAGGTGGCCTTTGTATTGGCCTCTTGGGATCCCGTCTCCTGCAGCAGCTCTGGGCTCTGTGAGGAGCTGCCTGGCCCAGGCCTGCCCCGGGCTCCCAGCCCTCGCAGCCCTGTCATTTCAGGCAGGGGCTCCGGATGCCTTTCCAGGCATCCCAAGGCCCAAGGTTGGGCGGGGCTCTGCACTCCTGCTGGGCCTGCTCATAGACAGAGGAGGGTCTGAAAATCAGGGCTCAAGCCGTTTGTAGCCTGTGAGCTGAGAGTGGCTTTGACACTTTTAAATTTGTAAAACAAAATAGAAAAAATATAGTGAAGACTATGTGGAGCTTGCAGAGCCCAAAATGCTGTTTGTCCAGCCTGGTCTAGTGGGGTGGACAGACCCTGTCCACGTCCACACTGCTGAGTGAAGGCTGACTGCCCTGCGCGCCGTGTGCCGACTCCCTGGGGAAGGGCAGAGCCTGCATGTAATTCAGGTGGGGAGAAGAGGAAGATGCTTGCTTGGGCAGGAGGGAGGGCGGCGCTTCGAAGTGTGGAGCAAGGCCAGGAGGCGCGAGGCAGCGGCAGTGTGGCTGGACACAGCCCCGGGCCGGGGGCCGGAGGTTTGCAGGCGAGCGGGGGTCCCGTGGCAGGTGTGAGCGCTCGTGGCCATGGGAACCAGCCAGGGGCTGTTGGAGGTGTCCAGGGAGGATGAGGACAAACTGGAACGAGGGGGCCGCTGGGAATGGGGAGCACCAGGCTGGGCCCCAGTGCTTCAGGTGGAGCGCGCAGGCTATGGGGGGCTGGGTGGAGGGTGGGGCAGAGTGTCTCCGCCCCGTGCAGCCCCCACAGGAGCCCCTTTCTGAGCCCAGGGCTCCAGAGACTTCCGGAAACGAGGGAGTCTCGTAGAAGAGTCTACACTGTCTTTAGAGAGGGCGGGTGGGAAAGACTGTTTCACACTTAGGCAGCCGTCCCCAGCCGTGTTAGCCCCGGGGACTGGTTTTGTAGGAGACAGTTTTTCCACGGACTGGCTGGGTGGAGGCTGGTCCCAGGAGGAAGCTGTTTCCACCTCAGATCGTCAGGCGCTGGTTCGGTTCTCACAAGGAGCGCGCAGCCTAGATCCTCAGAAAGCGCGGGTGGCAGTGCAGTCGGCCCTCCCCCTCCCGTGAGGGTGGAATGCGGCTGCTGATGGGACGGGAGGCGGGGCTCAGGCGGGAGTGCCAGTGGCAGGAGTGCTGTGAATGCAGATGGGTTTGGTCGCTGCCCACCCGCCCCCACCCGCTTCCCACCTGCAGCCTGGTCCCTGACAGGCCGTCCTGGTCCCGGCCCCAGGGCTGGGCACCCTGCATGAAGGGCTTGACGGTGCTCATTTTGCAGAACCTGGGTGGAGAGTCTGTCCCAGTATGCCATGAATAACTGGCTACGCTCCGCGGAGATCGGACAGGAGATCCAGGAGGCGTGGATCGTACAGAACGCCGTGGTCTACGTCCTGAACCACAACCACCACCTGATCCTGGCCGGGCGGCAGAAGGAGCTGGTGGACGCCCTGTACCACCTCCTGAGCATCGTCAAGGCCACAGGCCACAGTGGGTGTGTGTGGGCAGTGCTGCAGTCACACAAGGAGGGGCTTCTTCCCTTGGGAGACCCTGGAACAAAGGCAGGCAGCTGCGCTCCGTGGCCCTCTGTGTCCCAGCAGAGGAGGGTCGTGGGCACCCGTGCATCTCAGGCCTCCTACCACGACCTGAGGACTCTGTGCATGGGATCAGGGTGTGGCCTGCGGGGGCCAAGATTCCCTCTGACAAGCATGTCTCCCAGGGACCCCGTGATGCTGGTGACGCTCTGCAACACTTTGGCGCGAGGCCTGATCATCAGCTGGATTCCAGTCCAGGCTGCTGAGAAGTCCAGGAAATTCATGCGACCAAACACGTTTCACAGCCCACTGGATGCAGGAGCCACCTCTGAGATCAAAACAGCGGTGGAGGTAGCACCTCCATGGTGCCGAGAGAGAGACGGGGGCGGTGGAGGGGGGGGAAGAAAGGTGAACAGAGAGAGGAGAGGAAAGAGAAGAGAGGAGAAGTGAGAGGAAAGAGAGGAAAGGAGAGAGGAGAAAAGAGAGGAGAGAGGATAAGAGAGAGAAGAGACAGGAGAAAGAGAGAGAGGAAAGGAGAGAGAAGAGAGAGAGAGGAAAAGAGACAGGAGAAAGGAGAGAGAAGAAGAGAGAGGAGAAGAAACAGAGAAAGGAGAGAGAGAGGAGAGGAGGAGGGGAGAGAGAAAAAGAGAGAGGTGTGTGTGTGAGGGGGCGGGAGCGGAGGGAGAGAGTGGGGAGGCAGCCCCACCGAGACAGAGCCCTGCAGACCTGAGGCTGGAGGCTGGAGCTGAGCTTCTGAAGGCTCCTGGAAAGGCCCTGGGAGAGCAAACTGCCCTCAGTGGAGGTGACAGACGTAAGAACAATTTAGGAAGTAAAACGTCAGGGGCTCCAGTTGCTGGGAAATAAGGCCAGGGCTGGAGAGAGAAAAGCAAGACCTGTGGGTGGGTGTGGGCCTCCCCTCGGGGCAGGCTCCAGGCTGAGAGGGGAGTGGAAATAGAACCAGAAATGGCAGATTGGAACAGCGGGAAACAGGGACCGCGTCACCCACAAATGCAGCCGTCCCAGTAAAACGCAGCAGACCCAGTGTGTGGGACGATCCTGGTGGCCCAGGCGGATCATTTATCCCACGGAATTTGGATTTGGTTGTAATCCAAAAGGAAGGGAAAAGGGAGTGTTCGCGTTGACGGATGTTGCTGAAGTGTGTGTCGAGCCACTGCCCGTTTCTAACTCAGAGAACCCGGGAGAAAGCCAGTTTCCTAAAGGGTCAGGGGAGTCGGAACCTCCTGGAGCCTGCGTGTGGAGCGCCCACAGTGGGGCCGGGGCAGGGAGGCCTTGAGTGTCCCCGCAGGGGCACAGGGAGGGAGCTGTCCCCACCCTTGAAGGAAGACTTTGTGCTAAAGCTCATCCCGCATGACCCTTTCTGGGCCATGGATAAAACCGTGGGCCGGAGAGTCTCGAGCCTGAGGCACAGCGCTCACGGCACTCACGGCACTCACGGTGCTCACGGTCAGCACTGACGGTCAGCTGTGCTAGGCCACAGCCACAGAGGGCCCTGGTGCTACCAGTTCCCAGTGGGGACGGCTGGCCCTGGGCAGTCAGTGTGATCCAGCCAGGACGGCCAGGAGCACCGGCTGTGGCATCAGGTGCAGGTCGTTCTTCTGAGAGGGGACCAGGGGCCGGCTCCGGGGACCTGCAGGGATCAGGCTGGAGGCTGTGGAGGGGAGGGCGCCGTGGGCAGCTTGGGCAGCTGTGAGTGCAGCTGAGCCTGTTGTGGGCCCCGGGAGGCAGCTGGGGGTGCAGAGGAGCTTCCTTCTTGGATGTGATGACAGCTGGATCCAGATGCTGAGAGGAAGTGCCAGCACTGACCTGGCAATCCGGGAGCACGGAGTGAATGGCAGAGTGAGAGGAAGCCGGCTTGGGCAGTGCCTGGACTGGGAGCCAGGTGGTGAAGAGGGGAGTCAGTGCTCCCCAAACACATTCCGATGGAATGTCTGTGTGGAACTTGACCAGTGTTTGAAAGTTTATCCAGAAGCAAGGATGGAGGGGGAGGAAGGGGAAGGACGCTGCCCAGTAGGTGTCTGTGCTGCTGAGATGTTTTACAAGGAGCAGGTGTTCCCAAGACAGCTCAGGAGTGAGAGGACCGGGGTGCACCGGAGACCAGGTGGCAGCTGCCTCCCCGTGTGTGCGGCTGCGTCCTCGTCCTCAGCACCTGGGGGTGGGGCTTCGTCTGCTGGGTTTTTGGTGCAGCCCTGGGGGGCCTGAGGTCTCATGTGTTTCACAGGCTGGATCAGGAGCTGGGTCCATCCATCTTTTAATGGTTTGGATCTTGGCTCAAGGTCCCATGTTTAGAATTCAGGTTTCATGACCAAGAAAACATCCATCCTAGGTCTGCGAGTTTGCCCTGAACCTGACCAATGGGAGTGCGCCCGAGGAGACAGTGCCCACCAGCACCCGGCAGCAGCTCATCGCCACCTGGGTCAAGGCCAAGCAGCTGCTGCAGCAGCAGATTGGGCCGCGGCTGGGCACCGAAGAGCAGGTGGGCGCCCCTGCCCGCATCTGGCCTCCAATCGAGGCCCTGTGGACATAGAGGTCCAAGACAGCTGGGGGTGGTGGGGCCCCCAGGACCACTTGGCTCCAGATGGAGCCACCAGGGATGGCCTGGGCACTCCCTTTTCCCATTGAGCTCACCGCCGCTGACTGACCTTGAGTGTGGCACGGGGCCTCCTCTGCCCACCCGTCCACGGGGTCTGTGAGCTGCTGGGCCTGGGGGATGCTGCCTTCTCCCGAGGAGGAGCAGGCCCAGGGCCGGCCCCATGAGCTCCTGGAAGGCCTGATGGAGGAGGGGCCTTGAAACCTGGCCAGGAGCCAGGGCCGAGTGGGGCCCAGGGAGGTGGGGAGGGTCCAGGCATCAACCTGCCTGCCCCAGGCAGCCACCGTGTCAGGCCCACTGGTCCTTCCCTCCTTGGGGATCCCCCAGCCAGCAGACAAGGCTGCCTCACACATGGGGCCGCACAGCCCTGGGGCTCCTTGTTGTATGAGAAGATGACCTGCAGATTCACAGTTAGAAACACAGCCTAAGGTCTAAACGCTCCCAATTTCGTGGTCTGATTGTTGCCATAAAACTAATACCTCGCAGTGTTCGATTCACACATGTTCCAGACTCTCCCGCACCCTCGGGCTGAGGCACTCAGGGCATCCTTCCCACCAGGGCACCAACGAGGATGTCAGCTCGGTGACCAGAGTCCTCGTTGCCTTGGAAATGTACTCATGCAACGGGCTGGGCCTCATGGACTTCACTGTCCCCTCCCTGGCCCAGGTAGGTGTCCCCTGGGGTCTCAGGAGGCCGGGCCCAGAGGTGAGGACGCCGAGGGTCTGAGGTGTTGCCCAAGGTGGCTGGAACTCAAGCCTCATCGTGCGTGCTGACCCCCACTCTGCCCCGCTCTCCTCCACCTCCCAACAGAGCTGCGCCCATCTGCGCACTTCTTTCAGCTTTGTGCTCAGAGTCCCCGTCTCCTGGTGTGAGGCAAACGCTGTCTGAGCGGACCCTCCGTGTCCTGCCCCACCCTGAGCCACTCAGGGGCAGCCGGGGACTGCACACGCCAGTCCCGTGTCCAGGACACCCTGTGGGGTGTGGGAGCTACAAAAACATCAGGGGCCCTCACAGGCATGGACGTGGTAGCTCAGCTTTTGTGGTCTGTGGTGCAGTGGCCTTTCACAGGCCACGCCTCTGTGTAGAATCACACGTGCTGTGTGGTCCGTGGGGCTGCAGCTGCTGGAAGGTCGTGGTTGCTAACACGGTGCCCCTTCTCTTGCCACCCACTGGAAGTTGGTGAAAATGGCTTCCGAGTGCAACTGGTCGGACCCCCTGGTGGAGCTGCAGACCCTGACGCGGCTGACCCACTTCGCCTATGCGGCACGTGACCATGAGACCACCATGGCCTGTGCTCACAGGGCTGTGGAAATGGGCATCAAGTACCTAAAGATATTTGGGCCGTAAGTAAGCTCTCATGACTGGACGAAATCCCCCAGAATGGGCAGGGAGCGCGGGCCTGGGCTGCAATCACAGATCAGGGCGCATGTGAGCGCCCCACCAGGTCCCCAGGCCCAGTCCAGAACGCTTCCTGCGGGCCTCAGCCATGTGCACAGGCAGCCTCCTCCTGCCAGCCCTGGGCCCTCATGGACACGGCAGCAGTGGCCCGTGGAAAGCTGGTCGGGAGGGATTCTCAAGTCACGTGGGCCTCCCAGGAGGGGTGTGTGGCCTGCTGGCTGCGCGTGCATCGTTGGCACAGAAAGGGGGGGCCTCAGCCTTCAGAGGCTGGGACAAAGGGCCACAGATGGGGGGCTCCCACCCTAGATGGTTCCTGCTCACAGTTCCAGAGGCTGGAGGTCCCATCGAGGTGTGGCAGAGTCGGCGTCTGCCGAGGGCCCCTTCCCGGCTCCCAGACGGTGCCTCCTCCTGTGTCCTCGCATGCGGGAAAGGGCAGGGGCTCTCTGGGGTCCCTTTCATAAGGGACTAACCCTGTTGGTGAGGGCTCCATCCCCATGATCCAACCCCCCTCAAAGGCCCACGCCGACACCATCACTGTGGGGGTGAGGACCTCCCAGCAACGGAATTCTGAGGGACACGGACACTCTGCCTATGGCAGATAGAAGGGAATTCTGAGGGACACGGACATTCAGCAGGTAGAAAACTGCCATTTCTAATGACATACAGCTTTGAAATAATTTTGAATAGACAGATATGCACACTAATTAAATTTGAAAATAAGGGTAATTTCAATGAAAGAAAATGGCCTGTGCATATATAAATTCTCAGACATTATCTGAATAAATTTTCCACTCTTGGAAAGGTAGATTTAGCCTCAAGTTGTTTTAGTCTCCAGGAGGCTGCCAGCCCCTCCTCTTATTTAATTCTGAGTTTTGGGGGCCAGCCTAGGGGGAATTATTATTATTATTATTATTATTTTACCCCCCAGGGGGGTAGTTGGGAGTGAGACTATAGGCCATAAAGAATCGGACTGCGTTGGACCAAAATAAATGGGAAAATCGTGGTTTGAAAAGAAGCTTTTGGGAAGTGATGGGTCATTTTGCACCAGGTAACAGGGAAAATCGTGTGACCTCCAGCAAACACATGAATGGTTATTTCCTGGAGCCAGAAGCACTTCGGGGTCGTGGTAATTCCCAGTGTTTTCTGTGTCCTAGTTTTGCCCTTTGTAAACACTGTCCTTTTTGAAAGTTTGACTATATCCACATTCTGTTGAAACCTTGAAACTAAAAATTTAGACTCTTGTCGTCATCTTAAGTTCTTCGTGCTACTCTTAACCTCCCAAAAAGCAGTCTTGAAGTGACGTAGATGATGTCTTGGGCGTTTTCTCTCTCAGCCGTGGAGAGCTGTGGAAGGAAGAATCGCTGCTTTTCTCAGGCAAATCCGTTTCTTGGTGTCTTTTGGTTCTCACTCCTCGCCTGCTCCTGATGCTCTGACCCCTTTGATAGATCAGAGTGCTCCAGAATAATGGGTGGTCTTGGGTGGTGGATACATGGCGACAGGGACAGTTAAATTGGGAGCCTTTTTTACAACCTTGGTGAGTTTTTTCCCCCCGGGTTTCCCTCTCCACTGAAATGGCACACCACTGCTTGTCGGATTCCTGAGGCGGCCAGACCAATGTGTTGTTTTTCTTTATTATATATTTTTTAAAGCTTCCCTTCAGAGAATAGATGGTAATGGAGAGAATCATTTAACAAGGTCCTGGTTTCTCTTGCAACACAGTAGCTAAACTTGCCTGCTTTTATGTGCAGATTTGTAGGGATCAGCTTGGTAGACGGTATTAGCAGAGAAGCGACCCCTCGATCTTGGTTTGCAAGCCCGTCTCCCGTCAGTCCTAGATTAGGCCCTGTTCAGCCATGCAGGGGTGTGGGTTGATGCGTGCTGCAGCAGTGGGCATAGTGAATATAATCTACCCAGTTGGCAAAGGTGTGTACCAAGTGAGTTTAAATAATTGGTGTGGATTGGCCAGTAGCTAAGAAGTGGGCTTTTAAAGAGTGTTGAAGATTGAAAGGTTGTTTTGTTTTTTTTTTTAAAAGGAAAAACCATTGATTGTAGATAATGAAATACTAGGGTCTGCCCTCTTCATGTCTCCCATCCTTCCAAATAGTTATATCCAATGTCTGCTCCCCTTCCAGACAGTTACACCCGGCGTCTGCTCCCCTTCCCTCATGTCTCCATCCTTCCAAATAGTTATCCATCCAATGTCTGCTCCCTTCCAGACAGTTACACCCGGCGCCTGCTCCCCTTCCAGACAGTTACACCCGCGTCTGCTCCCCTTCCAGACGGTTACACCCGACGCCTTCGCTCCCCTTCCAGACGGTTACACCCGTGTCTGCTCCTTCCAGACGGTTACACCCGGTGTCTTCTCCCCTTCCAGACGGTTACACCCGGTGTCTGCTCCCCTTCCCCTTCCAGATAGTTACACCCGATGTCTCCTCTCTTTCCAAATAGTTATGTCCAAAACTGTTTTTCCCTCTCCCGTATCTCGTCCCCCCTATTAAAATAGAAATGGGGATTGATTGATGTCCCACTCCTGAATACATGTAAAATTTGTACAAAAATATCTTCTATGAAAATGATTTGTAATCTGTAGACTTGTTACCTGGGAGATGTCTTGATGTAAAATCCCATCCTTTGGGTTGTGGGGTTTTTTCCTCCAAATAAATGTAATCTTAAAAAAAAAAAAAAAAAAGGAAAAAAAGAAAATGGCCTGTGACTCGGGTCCCTCGCTCGCCCTCCAGAGTCAGCTGTCCCGCCAGGCCCCGTCGGCAGCGTAGCCGGACACAGAACATTCCCATTCTTTAATTTTCACGGATCTCACTTTTAGTGGCTTACCGTGTTCCATCCAGTTGGGCGATTATTATCGTCCCTAATCTTTTCCCCGCTTTTGAATACGAGGCCGTTTCCATCGGTTGTAAACGCTTCCACGGTAAAGGTTGTTTCCCTTGAGGTTCTTTTTGGCCAATTTCCTGGGTCTAATAATCCTGGAAGATGAAACTGCTGACCAAAGGCTGTAAAGATGTTTTCTGTGGCCAAATGGCCAGTGTGGCAGCACCTGCCAGAGCCGAGGAGCACCCTAGGCCCACGCCCCGTCTTCCCACGGCCCTGCCCACTGGGATGGCTCCAGGGCCTGTGTTGGCCACACCCGTGGGGATGCGAGGCCAACATGGGAACGTGCCAAGATGCCTTTCACGTTGGCAACATCCACATGTTCAGGGTCTCCTGGGTGCTCAGAGGCACAAGCAGGCCAGTGCTCACGACTGGGCACCGTGTACCAGGCCCCCCGTTCACTTTTCTCAATGTCCAGGATGGGGCATCGTGTGCCCGGCCCCCGTTCACTCTTCTCAGTGCCCAGGACGGGTCATCACGCGCCAGGCCCCCGTTCACTCTTCTCAGTTCCTAGGATGGGGCATCACGCGCCAGGCCCCCATTCACTCTTCTCAGTTCCTAGGATGGGGCATCACATGCCAGGCCCCCCGTTCACTCTTCTCAGTGCCCAGGATGGGGCATCATGTGCCAGGCCTCCGTTCATTCTTCTCAGTGTCCAGATGGGGCATCACGCGCCAGGCCCCCCGTTCAGTCTTCTTGGTTGGCAGGCACTACTGTTCCCAGGCTCTAGAGCAGGAAATGGGCAGGCAGAGGCCAAGTTGCTCCTGAGGCCACCCAGCTGGGGTGAGTGGCAGAGCTGGGACTGAACCCAGGCAATGGGCTGCAAGCACTGCCTTGGCAGGGGTGAGGCTGAGAGTGCTCAGGAGGCTGTGAGCCCTGCCAGGAGCCATGCACCTGGGACCCTGCCCTGCTGGCCTGGCGCTGCCACGTGGTGCCCCATGTTCACCAGGGGAGCTGGAGGGAGAGCGTGGCAGCAAAGGGCTGGAGCAGAGTTGGGGTGGAGCCGTGTCCCACTGTTTTCTGCCAACATCGAGGGGCTTTTCATTGCAAATGATCTTTCTTCCAAAACCATATGGGCAGGATTCCGTGCCAGGCCTCCCTCTTTGGCATCCCTCTGTAAGAGGCTGGAGGTTACGTTTTCCCTGCAGTCTGTAATACAAATCAATTTGCTTCCAAAAGGAAAACTCGCCTGCTTTGGTGTCTCTTCCTGGCCTTCCTGTGCAGGTGGGGCCGGGGGTGCATCCCCAGCCCTGCAGCTCAGGCATAAGCAGGAGACGCCTACCACCCACCCTGGCCCCTCAGGCCCTGGATGTGCTGAGGCCGAAAATACATCTGCCTGGCTCTGGACATGCTGAGACACCAGGCTGGGATCAGAGGTGTCTCTGGAAGTCTCTGACTGACCCCAGGCCGAGATCAGAGGAGTAGGAAATAGAACTGCCCCAGCCTTCTCAGCAGCCACCACTTGAAGCAGAAAGAAAATAGAATGTTCCAAGTGGAGGTAGTTTTCAGCCTCGAATTCGAGCTCACCCAAACTGTCAGTCACATGTCAGGTCAAAATAAGCCATTTTAGACAAAAGGACCCAGAGAGTATACTTCCCATACACCATTTTAAGAAAGTTTCTTGAGGATATGATCCAGAAAAACAAGGAAGTAAACCAAAAAAAAAAAAAGAGAAAGATATGTGGGATGCTAGAAATAACAGATTCAACCCAGGAAAGTAGTCAAGAGCTGTCCCCAGATGGACGCTGTGCAGAGAGAGCTGTCTGACTGCATCAGGCGGCTCAGGAGGACCCTGGGGAGGGCAGGGAAACAGAGTCCCTCACATGACGGGTGGGGACAGTTCAGTGGGGCACACCAATTAGAGAGTCTGGGAAACCAAGTCATTTACAGCCGGACACTCCAGTGAGAAACATGGTGTTCATGATATTCCACTTTGAGGATTAACTTGTTGACAAAGAAGGAAGCATTTTGATGAAAGGATGGATTTTGGCAATACAAAAGTGAAGGAAAAGCGCAGGTAACATCCGCTGGTAGAGCAGGAAGGACGAGCTAAGGGAAG